AGTCTGGAAAATTTCCGATCGCACCTCGTACGTCTGGGTCTCCAAACTGATTTCTTCTTTTCGAGTTTCCTCACCTAAATTTTTATCAGTGTTTGCATGATAAGAAAATGTTTTGCAGCCTCTGGGCAGCGCTGTTGCAAATGGCATTAACTTTGTAGCGCAACTCATTAAACTGATAGCACTCTATTTAATGCCTTAAAACCATAAATGTGTTGACTTCTTACCATATTATTGATATATTATGTCTTCTTTGGTGAAAATTTCTTATTCTGATAAGAATTTCATCAAATTGAATGAAACCTGAAGTAATATCCTTTGAAAGGTGACCTTCAAGTTCACGTTCTGAGCTACGTCATATTTGTGCCCTCACAAAGGACGCACCTATCATGCAGAAGAGGCGCTCAAGGTACAATTTTTTATGTTTTTGAGCTGTGGGATCACGCAATTATGAAAGCGCAGTAGAATGAAGGACACGACGGCTGCCAAGGTGTGCTGGGACGTGTCTGAAGTCTCAATCTGCAGACATTACATTCCTCTCGTTTGTAGCACAAATATATCAACTGTGCGCTGTTTAGAATATAATTCTGTGAACGATGTGAGATATTCACGTGTTTTTACACCTCCTGGTTGTGTGACCTTGACCTATCCGTGACATTAACTTGACATGAGTATAGTCATTCTGATACGTACAGTTCGGAAGAAATTAGCGTGAGAAAAATTACCTTTGAATGACTTTGAAAATTTTAAAGGGTTCTATTCGATAAACCCTAATTCTGTCGTGACTAACATGACCTTGATCTATCGGTGACCTCTACCTGACATGAGTGTTGTGATACATAAAGTTCGGCAGAAATAATCAGAGGGAACATTGTTTCTGCCCGATACTTTTGAGTGTCTGTAAAGTAAGGGACGATTTTAAGGCGACTAATTATTTGTTTATATCAGATACGAAGAGCTTACATACTACAGAACAGTCACACAACATTAAAGGTTCCTTTTGATTCTGGTGTATCGCCTGTATCATTTGATATTTTATGTCTATAACCAAAGGCTCAGATAATGAGCCAGAAATTAAAACGGGGGCTCGCAACGGCTTACTTGAATCAGGACATTCTTTGTTCTCTTTCTTGTAGACTTCTTTCAGCTGTCCTTCTGAAGTGGAAACAGATATTCTCAGAGGAAATCCTGTTCCGACATTATCATAAGCTCTGCGTTCAGCTAGTCGGGGACATCCACCCTCGCCACAGTCAGGACCACTTCACATGTATCTGTTCCGAGCCTGTTTCTCAGGCTTCCGTCATTTCAACATGTGCTGGAGGTTCAGCACTATCGCAAACCCTCCGCTAGTAACGAAAATGTAACAAACAGATTGCATAATATAAGTATTATTGTAGTATTAATATGTCTCGTCGATTTTATTTTCTGTGTGGATTCGGCTACTCTATTTTATTCTGAACCATATCAGACAAAATATTCGTCGATTGTACCTGCGTCTCTCAATTAATCCTCGAATGTGCCGTAACAGCGTGTCGTATTGAGTTAGGTAAAGTTAGGTTAGGTTAGGATAGGTTAGGCTACTAGAACTGGTTAGGTTATGTATTTATAGCGTGCTCGAGTGATGGCAGGCTGTAACCGTCTGTGCATATACGTATCTCAGGGCTTCCTTATACCATTTTGGTGCTTTGCCAAAATGTCATTCACCCATAAGAATACAAATAAAACTGCATTCGCGACCCCTTCTGTTCTCCCTACTTCTAAAGTCATCCCATTTTCACGCCCAGGCGTGTCCAGCGTTTTAATGAACCCTACAGTTCAGACTTCGCCAATAGAGGTCTAGTGACACACGTTTTCAGTTTCTTTCATCCTTAACCTTTTACAGAACATTGATGCGAATATTTACCACATCATTGTCTTTGATTTTCGTTATAATCCATTGCGGTTTTAAGAGAGACATGTTGTGTTTTCTTTGAGGTACGGACAAAATCTTTAAATGCTATTTAGACGAGCTTCGGGCTTTGAAAGTTTTAGTGTTCCTGTTTCTTTCTTTTCTATTCTCCTCAGCGCTGTTTTCTTATACACCTTCAATCTCTGTGAGATTTCAGGGTCACACGGTGGCGAGTATGAAGATGGCTGCCTTGTGTAATCTTCGCCCCTCAGTTTCTGTTCTACCATTACGTTGAAGTAAAATTATAGCCATGTTTTAATATCTGCTCTCTCAAATGTAAGAAATGCGTGGGTTTTTTTCTGTATGAAATCTGTCGGTCGCATTATCAGTAATGCATAGTCAGTTGTTGTGAGATCGTATGGTTCTCCCCTTGAGTTCCTCTTTATTATTCTCACGTATTCTTGAAGTATGCGAGGTGTTGAGAAATGCATGAGGTGTGACGTGCATGGGTATGAGTAACTGTGAAATCATAGCTAATTATTAACACTGTGAGAGGAATGTTCAGTTTGTAACTAGTAAACAAAATGCCAGAATTTCAGGGCTTGTAGGAGTAATGAAACGTTGAACAGCTTCGTGTAAGGTTGTAGCACTAGATTTGTATTCAGGAGACATCAGGTTCGAACCTCTACCAGGATTACAGACTGGTACGAGTGTGCAATCTGAGAGAAAGTTAAAATGTCGGTTGTGGTCTTCAGCGTTTCGGAGGAAAGTATTTTCTGTACTTTCAGGTTGGAATAACTTTTCCACAGTGATAAGCAACTGGATGTAGGGTGTGTGCAATTCGACCCAACGGTCGGATGATGGTTGCCTCATTTTTACCAGAGTTGTAGACTACCATGAAGATGGAAGCTATCTGTTCCTCCGAAACGTTGCTGACCACCTACAAGACTAAAAAAAAATCTCGATCATGAGACCAGACGTTTATTACAAAGTCTTATTGAAGTAGGGATATGAAATGTTAGCTTTCGGTAACTTTTTCGTCCTGAGTTGCGTTTTGTAGTAGAACTAACAATATTCAGAACTTCGGGAGACTGATTGACAAATTTTATCGTCTTATAAATAAGTTTTACGTATTATATGAAATTGTTTATGTAGAATAAATTTTATTGAGAAATATAGTAGGCCTGCAATTTGATGTGATTGTAAAGAACGCCTGTGTAGGTGGTTAGAAGGGTTCGTTGCTGGAAATCGATCCCTCTAGCCACGCTGTGATGTGCAGTTCTTTCTCTTAATAGATTCCATTGTGACCGTGCATAATAGCTATCAATCTGCAATATGACGTAGCGGAAGTCACGCCTGGCGACGGGCGGGAAAGACTGGTAGCAAAAATCTGCGACCCCTAGTGTCCTTCTCAGTCAAATATGACTGACTAGTTAACCAAAACATTAATTGTATAAAATAAAGTTAATTTATTCTGACTAAAATTAGGCATATTGTAAAAAGAAATTAACTGAGCAACCACCTCTGACCTTAATGATACGTTGGTAAAGTAGGCACTGCTAGACAAGAAATTCCCCGCACTTAATGGAACCCGAATGTTCATTACCGTGTTCACAAAATCATGTCACATGTCCTGGTCCAGATTAACCCAGTCCACACCTCGAAACCTAATTTTCCTAAGGTCGATTTTAATATTATCCTCCCACCTACGCCTTGATCTTTCATGTGGTCTCTTCCCTTCAGGTTATCACTGAAAATTTTGTACGCGTTTCTTATATCGCCCATGTGCGCTGTATACCCGGTCATCTCATCTTTCTTGATTTTATATCCCTAATAATATTTGATGATTATTTAAATATTTTGTAAGCACATAGTTGGGTTATGTGGGGTCTCGTATCTGTGAGAATAACCCCTATTTCACAAACTTCGCTAATTGCTTTCTTAGACCTCAAAAAATATTCGTTAGTTTAGTTACTGTATTTACTCGATTTTAAGTCTCCATCGATTGCAGTATTTAATAATAAGACGCCGTCAAGCGTACGACGCACCACGAATTCAGAAATTTCAAAATTTGGAAACACTGTGCGACTTAAAATCGAGGAAATTCGGTACTTTGGGTACATTTTCTGAATATGCTGTGTAGCTGTGATAAACTGATCGATGTAGGAACAGTAGAGACTCGTGTGTTGCTGGTTTGAAGTCGGCTTCCATTTTCTTAATAGTCGTATACAAACAGTCATTAGTTGTCATGACAACGAGACGTCGGGGAATTCTTCAGTAGTGGTACATTAGTTATAACAAGGGGACATTATGCGTGCTTTCTCTACGATTGTGTATGAAATCCTCATAGTATAAAAAAAACGATATCTGAGTGCTGTTTCATAGCCTGATGCCCGTAATTCACGTTATCCTGAAGTTTATGTGTAAATTGTCTGATTTGTGGGTGGGTCCTGAAGATCGTATACGTAAAGTTTGGGAAAGGATCTTTGCGCCCTGGTCGCTCGACTCGAAGTGACTGAGACCTGAGATCAGTTGGCTTGAACGCGACCCTGCGAATGAAATGTACTGTCTGTAGGAAGGAGGCGACCGAAAGCAGGCAGTGGCAAGGTCTCGTTCGTGGCTTGGCAGTCGGTTGGTAGTGAAGAGTGAGCTGTGTGGTCGGATGGTCGTTTTCCTGTTCCTTTGCTGTGTCGGCCAGAGTCGTCTCAGCGTAGTGACACATGCACGATGAGGGGACTTCCTGCTCTGTTGTTAATGCCTACCACGTTCAAGTTTGTTCTGATTTGCGGTTTTTAATTAAAGGAGTGGATTTAATTACTGTGCTGGATTGTGATTGTTGTGAAAACACCTTCTGTACGATGTGCTGTGATTTGATAGCGGATATGTTATTTAGGTTTTGTGTTGTGTGTGTCTAGGACATTTTAACATATTTCTTGTAGACTCTTATCTGCGTGTCAATTTAATATTTTTTTTAAAATAATCGAACTTTTATTACAATTCTTCGACAACTGCTGGAGGAGTGTGTACGTGAATCAGGCGCTATAATACAAGTTAGACTGTTTTTTTTATGCAGCAAAAAGCTAACTTTGTAATTAATTTGTTTCGTAACTAATCTTAATGTTAAAGTATTTCTGAAGGTTGTTTGTTTAGTGACGTCAAATTTGTAACGTCCCTGGTTGCTAAGACAAACTTCTTACTGTTGTCTGGATACAACTTTGCGGGGAATGAGGTGATGATTTGTGGTGGTTTTAGTGTGAAGTGTAATTAAATGGTAATTATGCAAGAAAGAACACAAGGCTACAGGGCTCAGCCGCCAATAGCAGTGGCTGCTGGATGGTTTGCGTCTTTGAAACGACCCATCAGAAGAAGCCGGGGTCGTTCCGGTTCCAATTCGTCCTTGCCTCCCGCTCCTGGTCGCCTCCTGGCGCGCTCTGCATGGGATTTATCCACGTCGCGATCGGTAATTATTTCCAGGATGTTTTATTATTGTTTCAAGACAGTACCACCTTCTCAGGATCAGAAATAGGGTCTTAGGAAAATTAATAACTACAGTTCATTCGCCTTCTTATGTCCAAACGCGCCATATTAGTTTCTGCACTGTGGACACAATGCCTTTAGAGTTCATGAAATATTCTTATAGTTCATTGGGTGGTAGTCGAATTGTTCAACTACAGGTTGCGAGTAGTTTTAATACCGAGTTCTGAATTGTAGTGAAATATATATATTTACTAAATGCTATAATTTTGTAAAATTTCACTTATTTAATTTAATTTTTGTTGCGTAAATGTAAGGACTGTTTACGAATCGAAAAGACGAATTAGTACATCACTCGCCACCAGAATGCAGGATAAAATAAACAAATAAAAATGGCGTGTAAATGCATCGGACATGTGACTAAGTTCAGATATCTAGGCATTGTCATAACTGAGGCAGTTACTTGCCGTATTTTCACGGCGGAGACCCAGATTCGTGTCTAGGTTAGTCCGTGTGGGATTTATGATGGACGGAATTATTCTGAGACAAGTTTTTTCTCGCACGCCTTCGGTTTTCCGCTGACATTGTCATTCCACCGCTGCTCTATATTCACTCTTGTGTTCTCGGTGGAGTAGGGGGTGTTGAGAAGTTCGCGTATTAACGGCACAGTTCCACATAGACATCCTCACCCCATCGCAAAAAAAAAAGAAGGAATTTTTGGCAGCCGCTGCAGTGAACTTTCTGGTCTAGTATATGCAGTTGAAAGAAAGGTTAATGCAATTACAGGACCAAATAGTATTTTGCAGTCATGATACTGGACATTGCAACAACCCTCATTGAAAGATAAGATTTGTAAAACGTGATCATGAAGTCTCCGTAACGTTCCTGTGAGGTTGCAGGCTCCAGCAATGCAATCTTGAGGCAGAAAAGACCTCTGAAACGTCGGTAATCTTCTACCAGACTACACGAC